GGAGGAGCCAGGCCAGGTTGGCTTCTCTCCCCCCATCTTGGGAGCTGGAGCTCCTTGTTTTCTCTCTTTCTCACACGGGACTCTGCCAGGTGCGGGGTGACGCAGAGGATTCCCAGTGGGGCGAGGGAGGGCCTCCTGCTTGCCTCACTGTCTGTAGGCGGGGCTCCAGCCCCCGGACACAGTGCTTTCCGGGAAGGGGTGGGGGTGGGGCAATCCTGGCGGCTCTTGCCTCTCACCTCTTAGATGGGGACCTGGTGTCCCCCTCAGTGCTGCCCCCAGCACGTGACTGGCAGGATGGGGGGCAGCTTAGGGCTTTTTGATCCATTTCTGAGGTGTCCTGGCCTCCCTGCCTGCCCCGGGGTACACCTCAGGCCTGACAATGCCCCTTCCCCCCAGGCACAATGACAATAAGACCTTCCTGGTGTGGATCAATGAGGAGGACCACCTGCGGGTCATCTCCATGCAGAAAGGGGGCAACATGAAGGAGGTGTTCACCCGGTTCTGCAATGGCCTCACCCAGGTCAGGCCTGGCCCCCAACAGGAGCTGGCATGAGTGTGTGTGTGAGGGGGTCGGTCACCTCAGGCTCCTGGGTCCCAGCTGGTCGCCTGCGGGGAGGGGTCTCTCCAGGCCTCCCCGCTCACGCCGGCTTCTCCGAGGTGGAGCTGGTGCAGATGGTGGTGGACGGCGTGAAGCTGCTCATTGAGATGGAGCAGCGGCTGGAGCAGGGCCAGGCCATCGATGACCTCATTCCCGCCCAGAAGTGAAGCCGTCCAGCCCCTGCACCGCCACCAGCCCTGCCGCTTCTGACATATCGCCTGGGCAGAGCCCACCACACACCCTGAGCTCGGGCCGCGGCCGAGCCCTTAGCCTCTGTAGAGACTCCCGTTGCCCTAGGTAGAGTTTATTTTTGGTTAAGTGATGGCTACGATGTTGCTGATGCTGAAATAAACAGGGTTTGGCCTGCCCCGAGCCTGTCCCTCTGCGTCACTTCTGAGATGCAACAGGAACGGGAGGGTCACCCTGCTGTGCCCGCCTGGTCCTATGCCATGAACCCCTCTTGGCCCTCCCTGCAGGCCTGGGGTGGGCTGGGGGAAGGCTGTGGAGGGGGAGGAGCTCCAGGGAGGAGCCCCCAAGCTGAGCATCTAGCACTTGGGCCTGGGGTGGAGCCTGGCACTTGGCTCAGCCCCGCCTGCAGAGTGGGGGAGGTGTGGATGCTGTGAGGAGGGCGGGAGTCCAGAAACTTGAAACCTTTTGTTCCTCCACCCCCCACACTACCCCCTCCTCCAGCCAGCCTGGCAGCATCCCCTCCCCGACACCCACCCTCTCTGCTAGGTGCTCTCCCCGCAGGCTGAACTGGCCCCTCGTGCCCCCAGGCCACACCCTGCAGTTTCTTCCAGA